GGAACCCATGCAGCTGTGAAGGTAACCGAGCCGTTGAAATCTTTGGCATTGAGACTCCTCGACGGATACGAGAACCATGTGTCTGCCTCAGTCCTCTGGCAAAAGAAGATACATAAGCCGGGCCTCGCGGGCCATGTTTGTGGAATTAGCGGACTACACTGCATCGCATTTTGGGGCATTGCAGAAATTGCGGCTTCCATGCTAGAAGCGAAAAGATGGGATGTGGATTGCCGTGATTCTGAGGGCGACACACCATTAGGGTGGGCTGTGAAATATGGAAATAGCAAGGTAGTGAAGCTGCTTCTAGGGCGGGGAGATGCCGAACCTGACGTGGTTCGGGATAGTCATGCGGTGTTATCATTTGCTGCTCAGCGGGGGAATGAAGATGCAGTGAAGCAACTTCTGGCACGCGGGGATGTCAATCCCAATTCATCGGATAGCAGTGGCCGAACACCCCTATCCTATGCTACTATGGGAAGGCAAGAGAGTGTGGTAAAGCTTCTTCGGGAACGCGGAGATGTCAATCCCCATTCCCCGTGTAGCAGCGGGCAATTGCCCCAACCCCGCGCTGTCGAGCGCCGACATCAGCATACCCCGGATCTATCGGAATATGGAAACCCTGATCGTAGATCAGAAACTGTCGGTCGAAGGACAACCGCTGTCCCTGTCGAGGATGCCCCAGAGCGAGCAGCAGTAGACCCTCTGCCAGCACCGGGAGGTGTCGCTCCCAACACCACCAATGACCTTCCACCCGACGGCTCCATCCCTCACCCCACCCCGTCTGGGCATTCGCGAAAACAACCTTTACGGCGCGAGCAGTCTCCACCGAATCAGTCAGGCTCAGTCTCTGCCCCATCTATCCCAATCCTTATTCTTTGCTTCAGTTTAGGATTTGCTCTTTTTTCCCTTCTCGCGTTAATCCTGTTTCTCATTTTCCACTGGTATGGGGATCCTCGTAGCTTAGCTCACATGATCCCCAGCCCTCAGCAGTGATTTACATTTTAATTTTGGGTACACTCGGCACGTCTTTTTTTTCCTTCTATTTTTTTTCTTTTAATAACCTCGTCGATATTTTTATTTATTTTTTCATTGTATCTCTTCCTGGAACTACTGTAGCCGTGGAACTTGTACCATAATTATTGTAACATCTCACACCACTTACAACTTCCGTAATCTAACCCCCCCCTGCTATAGTAAAGTATCCGGCAATACAAACTCCTTTCACAAAACTCTGCCAGTGGTGGCCCCACCGGGAGCTCCTCAGGTGCACTGCCCTATCAACCCGCTTTAACAGATGACAAGAAGGGTACCCGACTCACAGCACCGAACCCCTTCCGTGGAGCTAGAACATGCTGAATGATCGCACGGTACCCTGACATGGCGCCGCCACAGCCCGTCCCGTATGCCCATCACTTCCGAGTTTACCATCCCTAACCCCACATCCAAGTCTGGAATCATTACCGTAGTGGTTTTCGAGGCAAATGAGGTTTTCTGCCACCATTTCTAAAAATCTGATGAAAGGAGTTCTAGAGGAGGATGGCGTCATGTGGGAAGACAGGCGGAGAAGGCAGAGCGCGTGGCTGTGGGGAAGTTTCAGGTGAATTCTCGCTTTCTTAGTTGGAAACACTCCGGACTGCATTTGGCATTTCCTAGAGCGGTGGTGGGAGTTCGTTCCTTGGTCGTATCATGTCACGATATAGGGAAGAAATAGTAGAAATCAATTCCCTGTCCTATTCTCTAATAATAATATTATAGCTATATAGGTGATAGCATTTGTATCCCGAAGCCCCAGACCACCGGTTCAACATAGCCGCGAAGGCTGGTTGTTAGCTCCTTAGGTTAGAGACGAGCCGGAGGCGTGAATGTGTGTATGTTCTCTGTCAAAAAAGGATTTCACTTGGTCTAACGGTACAGAGGAAGTGAATTCGCTGTTGACCTTGATAGACCAAGCCAGAAGCAGCCTAAAGAGTTCAAAACCATGCTACGATTTTGTTTGTCTCCAAAACACACGATAAGCATATACTAAGAACACCCGGCAGTTTGGATTTCCGGTTAGCACACTCCACCCCCTCCCCTCTTTTATGGATAAACCTCTTCATAAACATTCTGAGACTAGTAATGAACTTGCAAGTTAAACAACACTCATCAGCTCTCTCCCAACCTCTCAGAGTTCTGGTACAATCGGAGGCCGCGAACCAAGCGCTCTCTACGGCTGCCGTTGAGCAAAAACGCCCAATGGAGATATCCGGTGGGTTTGGTGTAATGAGGCCTAGCCACAGGGGTAGAGAGGCTCCTGTCAAAATCCAAGAGAATCGTCCTGAAATCATTGCATAAACCCAATCCTTTAATCGACAGACCCTAACCCTATTGGTGACCGTGATCAATTGTTCGGATAAACACGGGTCATCGCTATAACCAGAGAGGTGATCTTTGTGAGGCGTAGAGGCTTGTCCTGGGAGTCCCCTGGTGACTATCCCTAGGATATAGAGGAGGGAAAGTGCGTAGTGGGCGGAGCAGCTTCAATACTGAAAGATGGGTATTCAATCAAGTCGGGAGGCTATCAGTGACTTGGTAGTTCTAGGGCCCTAAACGCCCGTCAAAATAAACCCCCAGGAAAAAACAGCTGTCTGTTCAATAATATTATGGTGATGATATTCTCCACAGAAAGATCCGGCTTCCCCCTCTTTGCTGTCGTTGTTGCTCACATGCGATGTTTCCGTAGGATACACAAAGTACGGTATCTCCAATAAATTGCTTACATTAAATCTGATCGATCCCATCCAGTCACTTTAACCTTCTCATTATGCCTTATAATAAATCGTGCTTATTCGCGCTTGTACCATATTTTGCTCGTCTCTTGCCATTCGTGATGCGGCGGGCAGCCTTCCATTTCGGGGCTTCGGCAAAGGTACGAGTAGACTGTGTGCTCCTGCTCCATGATACCGTAGCCAATCAAGCTACCCCACCGCATGATGACCCCGCACCCGATAGATTTATACGCTGTAGCCTAGTATCATACTGGTAGTTGGGATACTGCGGTAGCCTGCAGAAATGCTGTTCATGCTACCGTCATGTTGCCAACCGAATATCGTGGTGGGTTAAAAACATAATGTATTGGACCAGCCTCGCATTCATTACAGTATCTACATCATGGTCAAGATAAGAGCTGAATTGGACGCCGCCAACGAAAAAGGCCGGGAATGTCACTACCAGTAGGGTCCGTGTAACGGTCCTGTTGCGTCGGGGTTCCCGCCGGTAAGTTCCCTGGATCGCCCAATAACAAGGGGGAGGGGAGACGGAAACATCCTTTAGAGCCGCAAAAATGTGGCCTTGAAAATCTTACCGGTATGACCTTCCTCACCTGGCACACTGCATAATCTGGCGGGAAAACCATATTTTAGTCTGAGATAAGAAGCGGCCGAGATGAGAGTTGCAGAGTTTGCCCATTGTGTTTTATCGCGATTTCGAGACAAACCTGCGATAAAAGTTTTTCTCTGAGCACGCCGGCCAGAGTGTGCCAATTTTCGCTAGATTATGAGGTAGCAATTGGATACTCTTCTGAAGTTCTGATGCTGGATCTCGCATTACTAGAAATTTTTAGCCATTCCCGGTATCTGAAATATAATTCACTAAAACATCTTTTATCAATTTCGCCCCTTTCATGATGAATTTGACGATCTTAGCCCTCACGGCCAAAATGTCGTGTCCTTGGGCCGATCCTCTTCCAAACCTGGTCAAGGACTAGGCGCCTGTGGAAGGTGCCTGTGTGGTTCGCGCGTTTCCCACGCTCTGCAGGGAGGGCAGATGCGGTTGGCGCTGCCAGCTGAACACAGTATTGGTTGACATGGTCTATTATACAGGTATGATACCAAGTAGAGGTACTAGTGCTTGTGCCTGTAGTCAAAGTTAAAGAGATGACCTTTTAGCAACGAGTAAACACGAGAAGTTGAATTAGATTACTTTATGGTGTTGGCTAATAGTTTCCACGGGTTTTTGGTGCCGTAGTGAAAGAGTATTTTTCTGTACTAGAAGATTCGCTTGCTTATTTACAGGAATGGAGAAGGAGAAAATTTTCTTTTCTCTTCTCTTAGTACAAACTTTCTAGCCAAGTCCGACTCAACAAGCCCTTTCTACTATTTCAAAAAAAACCTAACTAAAAACATGACTAAACCTTGTCAAGATTTTCGTAACACTGCAGAGCCTCGCTTCCCCCTCCACTGTAGTAAACGGTGGTTGTTTTTTGGCTTGTCCGTTGCACATATCGAGTACAGTCTGTATCATCCCGAGCCGGCCCCCCTGATTTCTGTAGGTGGAAAAGTGATTGGGCAGTCGTGTTGTGCAACCTATTCGTGGTATCAGATGTATAGTATCATACCGTATTTTCTCTCCCATCTAGTACCACCTCCCGCCCCACCTTGCCCTCGTTCACAACATCATCTCGACATCCACTTAATTTTTCCACGAAGAAGATTTCCAACAGAAAAACCAGCCAGTACAGGATACGAAATGAATCCGGCGGCGCGTCAAGCCCCAGTAATTTCAATTACCGGCAATATTGGCGACAACAACAACCAGTACTCTGGGAATGTCATAAACAGTAACAATACCGAATTGAACGGCTGCAATATATCCGTAGCAGACGAAAGACCTGCCGTTCTAGAATGATTATCTCCCCTCAATCCTTCGGAAAGGCATGACTCTATAGCCGGGCACCGGGTGGCTGGTGTGGGCAACTGGCTTCTTGATAGGAACCAGTTTATTCAGTGGAGTGAGGGGGGTGATGAAATTGTTAACCGTGTCTTGTTTTGTTCTGGGGGTCCCGGTGTTGGAAAGACATATCTTAGGTATGGATGGTGGCTACCCTGGAAGAGTGTGATCGAGGCTAAAAAGTAATAACAGCTCCCTTGTAATAGATAGGCTGTGTGATCGGAAAGGCGCTAGCAATATGGCCGTCGCATGTGTGTACTGCCACTTCTATTCTCAGAAGGAACAATCAGCGACGGGGTTACTGGGAGTACTGTTAAAGCAGGTTGTCAGCGCATTGCAGCCGATCCCAGATGAAATACTGAGCACATATGAGAAATCGAAGGGGAGCGTTGGTGGCCGCAGACTCCAGCTACTCGATATCCTTAAAATGCTTATCAAGTCTCTGTCGCGCTTACAGAGGGGGTTTGTCTGTATAGATGCTTTGGACGAGTTACCCGAGAATTCCCAACAAGGTCTTTGGGTTTCTTTACAGAAGATAGTGCGGGAATGCCCAAACACCCGGCTATTTCTCACCGGGAGACCCCACATACAAGGCAATGTACGGAAATACTTTCCCGGAACTGCTTTCCCGGAACTGCTGAGATGTTGGCGATAAGTCCGACCGAGCATGATATCGGGTTATATGTTGGAGATAGGCTGAGTAAAGAGTTCGAGAGTGGTGAGATGGACGAGGAATTGGCAGCCGATATCCACAGAATTATTCCGGTAATCTCGGAAATGTATGTGTTCTCACGACATTTTGAACTCTTGAGATTGCGCTAATAACCAATTTCTAGATTTCTCCTTGTCTCTCAGTTTGGGCGCGGTGCTCGCAGAGCCGACCATTCACCTACGGAAGCGAGCACTTGATATGGTGACCAAGGGCCTCAGTTTTGACGGTGTATACAGCAGGACATTAGAACGGATAAGACAGCTAGGTGGGAGCAAGGAGAAGTTTTGAATAGGAGCGTTAATGTGGATTTCCCGTAGTGAGCGGCCCTTGAAATGGGCGGAGTTATGCCATGCCCTGGGGGTAGAATTACGGAAAGAATTCAGCGCCCAAAACGTACTTCCGATACAGACCATACTGGGCTACACTTTAGGACTTGTCACACTTGACGAACATACATCAACGGTCCGTCTCGTGCATTTCACACTTCAACAGTATCTTGGAAAAGATCCCACTCAACTTGTGAGCTCTCACTCGGTGATGGCGGGAATCTGCCTCACCTATTTGAATTGTCGGTCGCTCTGGGTGCCGCGGCAAAACCTCGATACACAGCTAGCGAGAGCGCCATTTCTCGAATACGCTACTTGTTTCTGGGCAACCCATGTAACCAGGGCCAAGCTGGTGACTGAACCGGTGGAAGACCAGGCGTTGCAGCTCCTTGACGGATATGAGAACCATGTATCCGCCGCTATCCTCTGGCTAAAGAAGATACGTAAGTGGTACTCTACGGAAGATGCCCAGGGAATTACTGGACTACACTGCATCGCATTTTGGAGAATTGAAGAAATTGCGATTGCTATGCTGAAGAGGAAAAGGTGGGATGTGAATGGGTGCGATTCTCAAGGTCACACACCATTAATGTGGGCTGTGAAATATGGTAATGACAGGCTGGTAAAGCTATTTCTAGAGCAGGAAGATATTAAACTCGACATGGCTACACAAGACGGTCAGACAGTATTCTCGTTTGCGGTGGAGTGGCCGAATGAAGGTGCAGTGAAGCTACTTCTGGGACATAAGTGTGTCAATCCCAATTCATTGGACAACCGTGGCCGAACACCCCTATCGCTTGCTATTTCCAGAAGGCACGAAGGTATATTAGAGCTACTTCTCGAACACAAGGATGTGAACCCCAATGCACGGGATAGCGATGGCAAAACACCCCTCTTATCAGCTACCATAAAGAACCTAGAGGGTGAAGTGAAGCTACTCCTCAAGCGCGGGGATGTGAACCCCAATGTACGGGATAGCGATGGCCAAACACCCCTCTTATTAGCTACCATAAAGAACCTAGAGGGTGTAGTGAAGCTACTCCTCAACCGCAGGGATGTTAATCCTAATGCATCAGATAGCGATGGCCGAACCCCCCTCTTATTAGCCACCACAAAGAACCGAGAGGGTGTAGTGAAGCTACTTCTCAAGCGCGGGGATGTTAACCCCAATGCATCAGATAGCGATGGCCGAACCCCCATATCACTTGCTGTCTTGGAAGGACACGGAAGTGTGTTGAAGCTACTTCTGGGGCGCGGGGATGCCAATCCCAATTCATTGGATAACGATGGACGATCACCCCTATCACACGCTGCTCGATCGGAGGCGGAGCGTCTGATGGACTTGTTCCTGGAACGCATGGGCGCCAATCCCGATTTATCAGATGTCAATCACCGAACGCCCCCATCGTATCCAGCGAGTTTTGGGACTGGGGTCTTCGCAAACCTACTTTTAAAACGGGATGATATTCATCCTGACTTACCGGATACTAATGGCCGAACACCCCTATCATTTGCCGCATCGGGGGGAAATGAGGCTGTAATGAAGTTACTTCTGCCACGCGAGGATGTCAATCCAAATTTACCTGATAACAATGGCAGGACACCTCTATCATTTGCTGCCGAGTGCCGGCACCAGCGTGTAGTGAAGCTATCGTCGGAAGGCTGCGGTCCAATAACAGCCTCCGTCCCCCTTGAGGATACCCCAGAACGGGAAGCAGATCTACTACAGGCATCAGAATATGTTGCTCCCTGCAGCCCAGATTCTCTCCAGCCCGACACCTCCATCTCTCTCTCCATATCGTCTGTACCTCCCCAGGAACAATCTCCACTACTCCAAGAGTCTACACCTCTTCAACCTGACTTAGCCTTAGCCCTACCTAACCCCTCCCCCACCCCTAATTCCAGACCTAGATTTTCTTTTTTCCGCCAGACTTTGGTAATATTGTTCGTTCTCATATTTCTCGTGTTTTTAACATACCGTTCTTGTGAGGACTCTTGTCAATTATTTTATGCTATCCATGGCTCTTGACGGTGGTGGGTACCGTGCTGTTAGTTACATCTCCAGTGTTTTGTAATCGTGTCTCAATCGTACTTAAGTTTCTTCTCCCGCTTTTATTGTTAGTTGAGGTCTTTACTTTACGCCATCCTCCTATTGTATGAGAATGATCTTTTTCTGAGTGTTCAAGCAAATTTCAATTGTTGCCCTATTAGTTGGCAATTCCTGGTCTAAGCCAACTCTGCACGATTTGCTTAACCACGCCTCAGAAACAGGCACTCCTAGTGGTCATAAAAAGCTTAGCAAGCCCCCTGTTGGGGAGGATGTTTAAATTCCTAAGGCGCGAGAGACCATACCTACAAAATACTCCGAAACCCACCACGGAAGTCAATACCTGACTCGGATATCATATATGAATGTGTGTGCTGTAATTGATGTGAAACGGTGATACACTTGCTACTAATGCAGAGGGTTCAAATCTCTGTTTTCCTAAATCTATGACAGCTTCCAAATTTTCAATTTATCTTTCATGGCCACGCCTTCCGCAAACGCAGAATCGAGTCACGGTACCAGTACGGTATGGTACAGTACCGGCACTGTTATTGGCTGCTACTGTAGTACCGCACCGTACTCGAGTACCTTATTCGTCAAGAGGGCTGAGCCTAGTTTCGGCCAGGAGGAAAATCAGGTGTAAGTTAACCCCGACTTGGCAACATATTTCCCACCTTTCTACTGCCCCCCCACAAGACCACCTGCCTTAACCCCTCAATACCCGCCTCTGCCCCGCACTGCTCAGACAACGAATTTCGACGAAAGGTTCAGCAGCGGTTTCCCACAGCAAAACCAGTTCGCGAAGCTAAATTAATCCGAGACCCGCAACACGTCAAAACCCAGTCATTTCAATGAATAGGGGCAGTGGTAACGTCGTGTACGGTTGCCAAAATGTGTGGAATAACTGCAATCTATCGGTACCCGATGAGAAACACCAGATTCTAGAGTGGCTATCTCCATTGACATCACGGGAAAGACACTTGGATATTTGTCTTGCACGGTTGGGTGGTGTAGGAGACTGGCTGCTTCGCACAGAAAGCTTTTCCGCATGGTGTACACTGGAGGGCGTGGCTGCGAAGCCTGTGCTATTATGTTACGGAGATCTAGGCGCCGGCAAGACATATATCAGGTATGAGCCACTGTGGCCCCCGGAGTGAGCAAAATGCTAAAAGAGTAGCACAGCTCGCTTGTAATAGATACACTTTCGAAGGGGACTTATGGAGAGCCTGTGGCCATCACTTATGTCTACTGCGACTTCACAGCTCGTGAGGTTCAATCTGTTCGCAATCTCTTGGGATCGGTGTTAAGGCAGGTTATATCAGCAATGGCAGAGACCCCTATTGAAGTACTGGGTGCGTTTGAGCATGCAAGAAAATACGCCGATGGTTGTAGGCTCCAGCTTTCCGAGATCCTCACAATGCTCGTCGGGTATCTATCGAACTTGAAACAGAACTTCATATGCATCGACACTTTAGACGAGTTTCCACAAAAGGAGCGGCCCGAGCTTTGGATGTCTTTACGGCGCCTCACCCAGGAGTGCCCAGGAACACGCTTATTCCTTACCGGGAGGCCGCACATCGGAGACGAAGTACGGAGATATTTTCCTGAAACTGTAGAGGTGTTGCAGATAGACACCCGCGCGGGTGACGTCGGGTTATACCTTAGGGCCAGGTTGGATCGAGACCCGGAGTTGGGAGCAATGAACGAGGAATTAGAGGCTGATATACTCAAAGTTATTCCGGAAAAGATCTCGGGGATGTATGTGTCGTCCCGAGGCCTTGAATTCCACACCGCGACTAACAGGGATCTCTAGATTTCTTCTCATTCGCATCAATATGGACGCAATCCTTGCCGAGCCGACAATTCGCAGGCGAAGACGAGTACTTGATAGGATGACCAATGGCCGTGGTTTAGAGGATGCATACAGCACGACCATGGAGCGGATAAGACAACAGGGCGGAAGTAAAGCAAGGCTGGGAATGGAGGCGCTGATGTGGATCTGTCATTGCGAGCGGCCCTTGAGCCCAGATGAGTTATGCCATGCGCTGGGGGTAGAATTGGGGGCGGAAGCCCTCGACATCAGCAATGTACCTTCAATACAAACTGTGTTATCCTACACCTTAGGACTTATTACTATTGACGAAAAGGAATCCACAGTCCGCCTCCTTCACTACACACTTCATGAGTATTTGCGAGAACATCTCACCCTATTTGTAGCTACGCACTCAATGATGGCCGAAGTCTGCCTCACGTATTTGAACAGTGCGTTAGTCCGGGCGCTGCCGCCAAACCCGGACAATGTCTGCCTGACACCACCATTTCTTGAATATGCAGCATGTTTCTGGGGAACCCATGCAGCCATGGAGGTGACTGAGACCTTGAAATTTCTGGCGTTACGACTACTGGATGGATACGAAGGTCATGTGTCTGCCTCAGTCCTCTGGCAAAAGAAGATACATAAGCCGGGTCTCGCGGGGCATGTTCGTGGAATAAGCGGACTACACTGCATCGCATTTTGGGGGATTGCAGAAATTGCGATTGCTATGCTGGAGACGAAGAGATGGGATGTGGATGCACGCGATTCTAGGGGTGACACTGCGTTAATGTGGGCTCTGAGATACAAAAATGACAAAGTGGCAGAGTTACTTCTAGCCCGGTCAGAGATCAAACCCGGCGTAGTTGTTACGGGCGGTAACGCGGTACACTCGTTTACTTCTCAGTGGGGGAATGAAGGTGTAGTGAAGCTACTTGTGGAACACACCGACATCAACCCCAATTTATCGGATAATTGTGGCCGAACACCGCCAGCATTTGCTGCCACGTCCGGGCAGGGGGGTGTAGTGAAGCTACTTCTAGAGGGTAGGGGTGTCAATCCTGATGCACCGGATAGTAAAGGCCTCACGCCCCTGTCCTATGCCACAATTGGGGGGCGAGAGGATATAGTGAGGCTATTTCGAGAACGTGGGGATGCCAACCCTGATCCGTCTGACAGCAATGAACGATCGCCCATATCACCTGATACCGAGCATCGGCACCAGTGCGCCTTGAAGCTACCATCGAAATATGGAAACCCCGGTAGCGAAGCACCAGGAACCCGTGATCGAACGCCAGTCTCTATCCCTGATGAGGGTACTCCAGGACAAGTAGCAGTTCCGCTTCCGACACCGGGGGTGCCTACCCCCTACTCGACAGATGACCTTCTACTCGACGCTTCGAACTCTCGTCCCGCCACTCCTAGACCTCCCCAGGAACAGTCATTATCGCGCAAACAGTCTCTACTAAATCAACCAGACTCAGACTCGGCTTCATCTATCCTTTACTCCATCCTTCGCTCTAGCTTAGCGATTTTCTTTTCCCTACTACCTTTACTTTTGTTGCTCGTTTTCCATGGCTACGGTGATTCTCATAGGTTATCTCACCTGACATCTAGAACTTGGCAATGGTTGATATAGTATTTCAATTTTAGGTAGATTTGGTGCTTTTCTTGTAATCCTATCCGTACTTTTATTTGTTTCCATTATAGACTCACATATCACTTCCCAGTGCTTGTGTAGCCGTGAGATCTACGCTGTAACACAACATTTTATCCCATTCACAACTTCTTCCTAACCGGAAACTCCACTCCCTACAGTACGGTACGCGGCAATGCAAGCCCCCTCCAAAACACTCCACCAGCCCTACCCCATCCGTAGCCCCTCTGGTGTGCTCAATTATTCTCGGTACACAAGAGTGGCTTACTGAAAGGGTATCCCGCTCTTTGCACCCCACCCCACCAATGGAGTCGTGACATGGAGACTAGTCATATCCTAGCATGACTCGATCATAGCCTGTGCCTTATATCCGTCGCTCGCAAAATTTTTATCCCTTAGCACACATGCAAGTCCGGAATTATTCGTGGCTTTTCGAGACCAAGCTGGCTTTTATCAGCACACGCCAACAATTGATGGATGGAGTCCTGGAGGGTGAGGGTATAGGATCGTGCTGGGTCGGCGGCCAGGCATGGAGGGTAGAGTGAATTATTCAGGGAAGGTTTCCCAAAGGTGCTGGGGCAGGTGGTTGGTTCCTTCGCTGGAAACACAGTGGGTGGCATATGCTAGGGTGCCCGTAAGTGAATGTCAGTTGTACTTGTATGATGTCGTGACGCAACGGAGCTGCATAAGAATTCAGCTCATTATATACAGCCACACAAGTGATAACTTAACGTGTGTCCCTCGGAGTCCTAGATAGCCAGTCCAATATTGCTTCAACTTCCGGTTTTTAGCTCGTAAGTCGCTAACCGGGAAAGGAGCGATGGCATGTTCTCGGTCTAAAGGGAAGGATTCCACGGGATTTCGCGATACGGGCCAAGCGCAGCCCAAAGAGTTGAGAGCCGCGCAAGATATAGTAAGAACAGCAAGTATTTTGGATTTCCGGTCAACAAGCCCTTCACCTCCCCGCCCCTTTCGTAGATGGAGATTCCTCTCTATAAATATTCCGCAACTATCAGTGAATATACATACATATTGAACGGCTCCCGACAGTCATTCCCAAACCTCGCAGAGCTCAGTACTAATAGCGGCTACGAAAGCTGGTATTTCCATCCCCCTATCACCATGGTTGAGAAAAACACCTTCCAAAAGTATCCGATGAGCCGTGTAGAAGTGTAATGGAGCCCAACCACCCCGGTGGACCGCGCTAGAGATTCCGCCCCCTCCGTTCGAGATCCGAGAGAGCTAACTTGAAATCGTTTCGCGGGATGGATTTTTGAAACGATCTAACCCTAACCCTTGTGGTTAAATGGTCAATAGCCAGGATAAGCAGGAGGGGTAAGTTAACTATCAGAGGGGTAGCGCATTTCTTCGTAGGTGTAGGAGCTCGTCTTGGGAGTACTCCGATGGCCCTCTCCGGGGTGGGAGGTGGAGAGGGAAGTAGCCGCAGATGCCAAAAGCTTCACCAATCGACTCGGAGGGCCAACAATGCCTCGATGGCTCTAATAGCCGTCCACTAGGCACGGTGGTGTTCTCTGGGGATCCCTCTCACCTCTTTCTCGCTGTCGTTGTCACAATCGCGCGATGTTCCCGCAGGATCTTATCTCCGCTCGCTTAAACGGGGAAATATTACTCAGCTTCCTTCTCTAGTTCTGAAGTATGCGCAACGCGGGCATAGATTATCACACCGTTACGATTATCATTGATGCTTGCTTATGTCATTAACCTTATTGCGCACACCCGATCAATTGGACTTTTTGATTCCCATACGATACAAGCACCTAGTATTAGTGGCCCTCACGGCGTTCGTATGAGGACAGCCCCATGCATCTTACTCATCTCGCGCTGGAAGGATTCGGGCCACGATACCAGGGAACTTGGCCTCTATCAGGCCGTGGGTTATGGCAAGGACTACGAGACGAGCTAGCGTTTTTTTGGGGGTTTCAACGAAGATACTCTGCAGATTCACCGCTCCTGTTCTGTGGTGACTTAGTAATTAAACTATCTGTTGAGATATGACGATTTGCTATCCCATGACTCATATGACCCAGAGTTGTGTGTCGGTCATGTGCCCCACACCTGTGACATGTACTATAGATAGATATTTCCTTGGTATGAAGCAGGTCTCACGTGACCAATTATGGGTATATATAGACGGGTTTCTTCCCTACATTTATCACATAGTTTGTTAGCGCAAGCTTGGAAATTCATCTTACAGTCTAAACTATACTGCGTTCTAACCTCACTGCCGTCTTAATATTTGAGAAGAGTATTCATTAATACCTTACTCTACACTTAAGCGAGCCCCAAGGTACTGCAATATTTTCGCTATCCCAATACAGCATGTGGTCCCCGGGCGAATTTATAAAAAAAATCAAACATTGGAATTCTGCTGGAAAAGGTGTTAAACATAACTTGGCATAATACTCTATCAATAATATCATCGAGCACGCCTGGGCCGCTCCTGCTGTTGGACGACAATTGAGATTCCTAAACTTCCACACTTTTTCTTTGTGAGTTTCGACTACCGGAACTCGAATAGTTTTCTTTGCAATCGAATCTGCTGTGCAGGAGCCGCAAGACTCTGGTGTGTGGCCCTGGTTCCAAATTGGTAGGAGGACTGACCAACTCAGCTCTTGGGACTAGAAGAGTATATTCCCCGCCTGGGAGCGGAATGCGTCGAATATGATATTGGTCCAGCAAATACTGTGCTTGGAAAATATTATGATACTGTAATCTCTATATTGATGATCTCTTCGGGGTAACCCATTCTTTCTTGTTCGGCACTTGCGGCTGTTGAAACGAGCTTTGCAGTCTTGCAGTAGGGAAACAGAATGGGGATCTTTGGAGGGTGAGTACTGAGCATGATTTCCTCTTGGCAGGGAAATGATTGGATACTGTCGTTGTGATCTCCCGCATTTGCCTCAGCCCCTCCGATAAAATACCTCTATTATCTCCATACCACCCTCCCCTCAGCCTCCGCAGCTATTTCAGCGATAGCAACGATACCATCAACGAAATGGATACGATTCCATATCAATTCCCAGTCATTACACCCAACAACGAAGAAGCTAGCGTCATGGACAGTCATAAGAGTGTGCGGAACGGAGCCGATGTGTCGGTAGCTGATGAGAATTAGCGACTCTAGCGTGGCTATCCCCGCTGACACCTTGTGAAAGGCACCAGGCTATACGCGCCGGTCGGGTGGACAAAGTCGGAGACTGGTTTCTTCAGACACCCGAGTTTTTGAAATGGCATCAAAGTGAAGACTGTCCCGCCAACCAGGTTTTATTTTGCTATGGGGCTCCGGGAGTTGGGAAGACGTGTCTTAGGTAAGAGCGGTGGGGGCTACCCTAAAACTGGCTACAAGGGCTAAAAAGCAGCAATAACAGCTCTCTTGTGGTGGACGCACTGTGCGACCGGATCGATGGGGGCGGGATCCAGCCGTCGCGTATATCTATTGCGACTTCAACGCTGAGAGCGAGCAGTCTGCGGCTACTGTGCTGGGGGCACTATTGAAGCAGGTTATCGCAAAATTAAGTCAGATTCCGGAAGGGGTACAGAATGCCCTTGAGCCTGCGAAAGACCTGGTAGACAGCTTCCAGAAATCCTAGCCATGCTCACCCAGTCTCTATTGTGTTTTCCCTGGGGCTTTCTTTGTATCGATGCTTTAGACGAGTTTCCCACAAAGCGGCTGCCGGAGCTTTGGGAATCTTTGAAGCACGTTGTTCGGAAGTGCCCAAACACTCGGCTATTCCTTACCGGGAGGCCTCACATCCGAGATGAGATCCAGAAATGTTTCCCCGGGGGTGCTGATGTAATTTCCATCAGTCCCACCAAGGAAGATATTGGAACGTATGCTACGATGAGGTTGAAGATGGACCCCGGGCCCTATGAAATGGATGAGAAGTTGTGGGCAGATATTCTCAGAATTGTTCCAGAAAAGGTGTCTAAAACGTATGCATTGTCCAGAAGTTTTGCTCTGCGAGTTGTTAGCTAATAATGCTCTTCCTCAGATTCCTTCTCGTTGTCCTTGCCATGGACTCAATCCTTGCAGAGGTCACTATCCCCCGGAGAAGAGAAACACTGCACAAAGTGGCCAATTGGCTTGGTTTAGATGATGCATACAGCATGGCATTGGCTCGCATAAGAGGTCAGGGGGGAGACCGATCGAGACTCGGAATGGATGCGCTAATGCGGGCTTCTCACTCGGAGCGACCGCTAGAGGCCGATGAGTTGTGCCACGCACTGGGGGTAGGAGTGAGGGGGACTGACTTTATGTTTCACAAAGTACCTCCAATATGGACAGTACTAGGCAGTACCTTAGGACTTGTCACAATTGATGAGAAGTCATCGACTGTCCGTCTCCTACATTTTACACTTCAGGAGTATCTAGGAAAGCAACCCACCCTATTTGCCACCGCCCATTCGAGAATGGCCGAGGTCTGCCTCACCTATTTGAACAGTCAACACATTCGGGGGCTTTTATCTAATATTGACATTATTCTACCCACTACACCGTTCCTCGAATATGCTACATGTTCCTGGGCAACCCATGCCATGATGGATGTTACGGAATCAGTGGAAACTCAGGCGTTGCGGCTCCTTGACGGATACGAAAACCATATATCCGCTAATATCCTGTTACAAAAGAAAAGACCCTGGTATCTTGCCCAGGGGCATGTGGAGGGATTTACAGGACTCCACTGCATAGCATTCTTAGGGATAAACGAGATCGCACGTTCCATGGTGGAGACGAGAAGATGGGACCTAAACAGACGCGATTCCGGAGCCTCGACACCATTATTGTGGGCGGTTACATATGGAAATGAGGAGGTGGTAAAGCTATTTCTAGAGCAGGTAGACATCAATCCCAACGTGGCTGACGGAGATGGCCGGACGCCACTCTCTTTGGCTGCGGAATGGGGACGGGAGGACATAGTTGAGCTTCTTCTCAAACGCGGGGGTGTGAATCCTGATTTACCGGATGGCAAGGGTCGAACACCCCTGTCTTTTGCGGCCGACTGGGGGCGGGTGGATGTGGTGAGGCTGCTTCTAGAATGCACGGACGTCAATCCCAGTTCATCCGATAATAATGGCCACACTCCGCTGTCATTAGCTTCTAAGCGGGGGCAGGAGGCCGTGGTGGCGCTACTCGTGGAGAGGCAAGCCAACATCTCGGATCCACCCGATTCAAAAATCCAAGCACCACTCCCCATACCTACCATGGACAGCCATGGCAGCACTGCCACGCCACCACCTAACTCACAAAATCTCAATCAAGAACTGTCGAACAAAAGCAATTGTAGAAACCCACCCCCGACGCCGAGAGGGAATGCCCCAGGGCAAGAACCGCCATCTCTACCTCCAGAACAAGAAAACACTCCTCTCCCAACCGCAGATGATCCTAACGCTGCTGCTACTTGTACAATTTCTCGTTGAGAAAACCTTTCGCATACCCTCCGGCACGTTGTATACCTTTCCAATACCCTCCTTGGCTAAAACATGCCCTCCGGAAGCAAAACTATGACCCTCAAAGTACAGACCTCCATAGACTAAGTATTTCCAAGGTTCATAAGGTCCGAACACTGAAGTCTAAACACTTCTCCCAGCAAGACACCGTGCCAAACACTATAGTCTAAGCGCTTTCCCCAGCAACCAGCGAAGATAGAAGAAATGAGAAACAAAACAAATAAGAGGAGGAAGGATTTATGTATTTAAGGCATGATAGAAGTTCCAAATAATAAAATAAGGAGTGACAGCGAATACCAAACTACCTACGCATATTACCAAAAATCCATATACAACTTCCGACTCCGAGTTAATATACAATGACGGTACCGATCGAGGAGAGACAATACTTTGTTTCTTTTAATAAGTTGAAGGAAGCAATCGAGACGTGGTCTATAGAAGACCATTTCACATTTTCGGTAGTGAAAAAGGATGTTAAGTGGGTAGATTATCGTTGCCGGGCACGTAGTTTGGGTTGCCCATGGCGTGTCTTTGCATCAAAGACTATGGACGGAGAGTTGCAGGTAAAGAGAATTAGCACTATGTATACCTGTATCGCAGCCCCAGTTTCTGCATGAGAGGTGGCCAATACACAAAATTGGCTTCAAAGAATAGTTCCACAGCACGTATTTGTCACCAAAGCAACCAAACCAACTGAAATTGTGGAAACTATTCAGATGCATTATGGTGAGAAGGTTAACTATGAGGCTGCAAGGGTTGTGAAGACAGCTCTGATTGCAGACCGGCTAGAACACCAGCATGAGCACTTCCATAAAATCCCGTCCTACTTACAGCTGCTGCACCAACATAACCAGAACTTATATACAGATCTTTATACAATTATTGATAATCATGGAAACTAAGTATTTCAACGACTATTTATTTGCCCTCAGGAGTCCCGCACATCATTTCAATCTATGAGAAAATTTATAGCTGTGGCAGGGACCTTTCTGAAAGCAAGATTTGTATAAACGCTACTATTAGCTGTGGGAATTGACGGTAATGGTAATATTCTAGTACTGGCCTGGGGAATTGTGGAGAGTGAGAATGACAGCTCATGGAGATACTTTCTGGAACACCTCAGAAAAGCAATCCCGAGTCAGCAAATATAACATTGATTAGTGATCGTAATAAAGCACTCCTTGCTGCTGATAAAGTAATGGGAATTGGGGTTGCTCGTGCATATTGTTGCTTTCATTTGAAAGAGAATTTTTGTAAGCGGTTTACATGAGGCTTGGAGCCATACTTTTGGCAAATGGCACATGCAAGAACGAGTGATAGTTATGAAGAAGCACTTACTGAATTACGCAACTTGAGTCCAACTGCAGCAGATTATCTTGGTAATATTGACAAAACACTATGGGTTACAGCTTTTTTTCCTGGCAAGTCCTATGGTCATAAAACTTCTAATATAGTTGAGTCGATAAATAAAGGTTTTAAAGCAAGACCGTGAGCTTCTGATTCTTGACTTACTAAATGAAATTTGGATTTATACTATGAACCAGAGAGCTCAGCGATATGAAACTGCCTCTGCCAAAGAGCAGCAACAAAGCCGGTCTGACTATGCTTTCAGTTAACTAACAATTTCGCGAGCCTGAACCAGAAAGAACACTGTCAATATGGCCAACAACACCTTATTCATGGTTCAGCAAATCAATAATAAGCAATTTATTGTCAACCTCGAAGCTCGCACCTGCACCTGTGATCACTATCAAGAGAATGATATACCATGTGGGCATCCACTGAGCTCAATTCACCATATAGGTCAATCAGCCCATACCTACATCTCAGATTTCTTTTCGATTACCACCCTTAAAAACACCTATTAAAGCAACTTTCATCCTGTCATACTAGCTAATCTTGATAGTTTTATACATAACTCTCAACTGGTACCGGCTCCTTTCCTATCACCTACAAAAATCTGCCCCAAAGCCGGATGGCCAAAGATTGTACGTGCAACACAAGAGAGTTTTCGGGCCCAGATTGTGTGTGCTCGAACTCAGATAGCACTTATTGAGGGTGCTGAAATACCAGTTGGAACACAAAAGTGTCAAAACTGTGGTGAACCTGGCCATAATCGTCATACTTGTCAAAACCCAAGGCTTGAACTTTTACTTTAGTCCTATTTCCTTCCGAAGAGTAGAAAATGGGGGATGAGAGGACCGGGTCGCGCCCATTCAAGGTCAGAGGTTGTGGTGGTTGGACGGGTCGTGCCTGTTTTTTTTTTTGTATTTTTATCTGCTATGTCTGGACCTTGAAAGCCCGGAAAAACTTATTCTATTGTGAGTTTTCTTTGGACTTCAGAACTATTGGGTTCCTGGGGAAAGTGTTTGAACTTCATTGTTTATGGGTTTCTGGGGAAGGCGCTTAGACTATAGTGTTTGGCACGGTGTCTTGCTGGGAGAAGTGTTTAGACTTCAGTGTTCAGGCCTTATGAACCTTGGAAATACTTAGTCTATGGAGGTCTGTACTTTGAGGGTCATAGTTTTGCTTTCGGAGGGCATGTTTTAGCCAAGGAGGGTATTGGAAAGGTATACAACGTGCCGGAGGGTATGCGAAAGGTTTTCTCATTTCTCGTTCCACCTTGATCGTTTCTCCCGAGAAACAACCTGTCCCGCCGCCACCCAAAATCTCTCGGGGAACCCAGTCAGTCTCACCCACGCCCATCTCCCTCAACCCTCCCACCCCTATTACCCCCGCGCAGGCAGAAACCGGTAGCTACGGTTGTTTCTTCATCTTGGGCACCGTAGTCATGTTTCTTGTCATTCTGAGATGCCATTTATAGGGGGGGGGTGGATATCATTCAATTGAATTATTTTGTGCTATAACTTTCATCGGCATTTGGAGTGCTGGAGGTTTTCGGTTTTTTGTATTACAAGATTTTAGCATATATTGGTATGGCCAAGTTGTGTAATAGGGTGGCAAATGTATCTGTAAGAGTAGTAATCCGATACTATCTGACCCTGATATGACGTGCGTAATCCAGCATCACCGGTAGATTCACCCTTCCGCGCCCGGGGAATAGAGGAGACCAAGTTAACCTCTTTGATCACCCTATCCTCGCTTCTGGAATTCAATTGGCGCTTCGTGGGTTGCTCCTGGGGACTTTCACTTTTCACACTCACAACCCCACCAGCGACATCATCGTCGTAAAATGCCTTATGGTCTGACGACGAGAACGGTTTGATGACGATCTAATAAAACTTGGTTGGAAATTCGATCTTATCTCCACTGATCACTTTACGGGAAAATTCCCTATCAGACGGTCCTCGCCATCAGACCGTAAGGAATTTTATAGTTATACGAGTACTTGGCTAAAACACAACACCTACCCACTCAATGGGGGAAAAAAAAGAAGGAAAAGAAAGACTCCCCAACAGAGACTTCATCTCACCCGTTAGGAAACTAGTCTAAGGTAACCCGCACCGCAGATCATGAGCCTTTGCGCAGCGAGTTCGAAGGACTCTTTGCCAAGGACTCTAGAGCAGAATTAGGATTTCAACGTCCAGGTACTGTACCGTACAAGTAGATAAACGATTGGAATGGCCTGATGCGCAAACCGGAAGGCAAAACAGGCAAATTGAGGTAAAACAAAAGAGTCTGGGGGATACCGGAGCCCCTGCATGAGTAAAAGTGAAAGACACTAAAATGGAAACATCAAAATGTGTGTCAAATTGAGAAACTTCCTCCTCCTCCTAGAAATAATAACAATTAAAAGACGGACCAATGCCATTCATAACATTGCTCTGCCGGAATGTTACGGATAATGCCCTCCAGACCGATACCTAGGTTCCGCAGGGTGCCCCTGATACCACCGAGCGCATTATTGAGCCCTGCTCCCACCCCTTTTACCTGTAAAAACGTACCCGAGAACCTTATCAGGGCTTTCCCCCAACTGGGAAAATATTCTTCTTATCTCGTCGAGCGCCCTCGCGAGCATCTCCTCCTGAGCTGTGTATACCGGGACACCGAAGGCCCCCTCAATCTCGGGCACGACGAACCTTAGCCAGGACTTAACTTGCTCGTGGCCTATGGGTTCTGTTCGACAAGGGGAGAGTTGGTTAGCAAGGGGGGAAGCAGAATATGGTTTCATATTAACCTACCTTCGATACCCCTGGCCAACGCTTCCGCCCTGAAAAGAGTTAGGAGGCTCTCCTGGAGCTTTTGCTCTCTCACAGGCTCGGTACCGTATGGCATTTCTCTGGGCTGTGGGTTCAGCAACTGCATCTTCGGCGAGGCGGGTTCGACTGGTGGTATCTGGGAGTACTCACTTGCTTTATGAGGGGAAGGTAGTCGGTAGTGAAAGAATTCACTGTCTTGGGGAAATGTGGGTGGTGTTGGGGGTGTCTCCTTATGGACTACTCAAATACTCGTTGATATCTGAAATACGTAAGGGTATGATGTCGTGCGATCGCACAAGGGTGAGCGCGCCTGGCGCGATGTGAAGGTGAACCCCAACGAAAACAACAATGGGTATACAAACACTCAACCCAAGCTGGTGACGTCCCACGAACAAAGAGAGAAAGCCGAGCTGCAGGAAGGAAGCAGTAAAGAAAAGGTGGGGCGAATTGACCTGGCGTCGGATTGGGTAAACGAGGGGCGATGGTGTTGCTAGTCGTTGTTGTGCGCAGCCTTGTCTAAGATTGGCGTGGACCGTAATTCACGGAGCGTAGTATCATAGTTATATATACGTTGTTAATTGTTCTACTCGAGTACTGAAACAGAGCTGGACGTTGGAGTTAGCCATCGCAATAAGGTCTAGCCTAGAGCGTTAAATGTCACCTTTTTCCTTCCCCTGCAATCCGAGGAAGGCAACTATAGTCATTTCAGCTCTTGCAATACTGGACTTGAGTCCTAACCCTGCTTAGGTGCCACTATGGTGGTTCCCTACTACTGCTGTCATATGAACACATTCCAATGGGTTTATAAATCTGAGACTCAAGAACGCACTCTTCCGGCCGTTGGGGGATTTATGCTGACACAGCGAATTAAAACCCTAGATAGGCCAGTGAGTTCTTCGGGCTGGGCGCGAAAGGGTGGGAGAGCAAAAAAGCGAGCAGAGCTCGAAATCCAGCCGGGAATAAGCATAGTCTACCGGTACCCTTACCTCATCACTCACATCACCCCTCACCATATGGTTAGGTTTTGTATGTTGCACTAGCTGTGGGTGTTGTATGGACCAACTAGTGTAACATACGAGACCTATGAACTGTACCTCCGTATTCTATATATTAGATAGTTTCACACAAACGGTTCACCACAGTTCAAAGAGCCGGTTCGCAGATCATGAACCGTGAACTGGAAAAATTAACCACGGTACTAGTACCGGCTCCGGAGGTGGTACTCGGGATGGTTTGGCGGGTCAGACGATGGCGTGACCGTGCACCGTTGACTTGCACAAAAAAAAGGATTAGTCAACAGTCTTCCAAATTATCTCTTGGCTACGAAGTAGGTAGTAAACGGGTAATCAGTACTAGGAGGTCTCACACCATACCGCAATGAACCTGCTAAAAATCTCAGTATTCATCCCGGATATGAACCATCGGTGTGAAACCCCCTTCTCACTTACCTGGAGGATGTTGAGCTTAGTCTAGCTCTCGGGGGTAGCTGGAAGGCTAGATGGTACACTTCTAGTACTAGTACTCGAGTATAGTATAACACGAAGTTCCCCCTGTTCGATCCTAGGCTAATCCCGATCACTCATAGTGAGTTTGCGAGGTACCGAGAGTGGGCCCTATTACTCGAGTAGAATCTACAGGTTTTACTAGCGGGGAAAAGGTCCAGGAAGAGTGATAGGGCAATATCACTAAAACTTCAGGATATTGCCACCTCCCCTACATTCTCTTACTTTCGATAACCTCTCTCCCTTACTAGCGATTAAAGCTTCCAAACCACCAGGTCCCCGGGCTCTAACTTTTTATAGCAGCGGATACAGTATGATACAAGAAGCAGGCGAGCAAAGCCCGCTCGATTAGATGTCATTCATTACCAGAATATCCGTGGAAACCACCGCATCAGCCCACGATGGGTTCCCCCTGGCAAGTCAAGGGAAATGCGAAAACCGGTTAATGAGGCCCAACACGTCTCAAGGGTGCAGAATGCGCCGCGTGGACAAGACACTAACCCCACCCCACGAGCTTCGTCTGCGAATCCGGAGATTAGTGGCCTCTCGGGTATAGCTGATTGCAAGAGCTTACGGCACCGCACGTTCGTCAGCGGCTCGGTCCGTTCACCTAACCCCCGGGTGGTGTTATGGGGCGGGAGTCCGAACCCCAGTACATTCTACGTGGACAAGAGAAACAAGGGAGTGACCAAAAGAGGGTGTTGAAATTGACATCTGCTAATGGGGGGGGGTGCATGAGGTTTGCGTAAATGATATGATATGACGAGAGGGAAGGCAATCAATCGTAAGGGATCCTTATAAAGACTGACGGCAGAAAGAAACGATCGAGATGAGAAAGGAATATAAAATTAAGTTCACCGTGATCTTGAACTCTCCCTTGAACTTCCAACACCTCTGGTACAAATATAGCATCGCTAACTCGTGTCTATTCTCAGCCCGCCCTGCCTACTATGTTTCGTGTCTACACCATCAAGTTTCGGTATATAGAATATATATGAAGCGATCTGGAGGGCAAAGGGTTAGGCTCGAAATGCTAGGAAGCCTATTACTACATTTAGCATGTCGGAACAAAAGAAAAATCATCTCTAGCGCTGACCACCTCCACTCGCTCGTCCGGAGAGATCAATCTTCCGCATAACCTATTTAGTGCCTCTTGACTTAGTCCCTACCCTCTAGGATGCCACGATACCGCAATCCTCCAATTGGTACTCCCGGAATTGCTGTATACAGCACCGTAAGGGGATATACAGTCAGCCGGCTTTCACATCGGATCTCTTTACTGGTAGACCAAATTTCTATCCTCATATACCATCACCAGCTAGGAAATATGGCTCGAAAGATAAGTTTACATCGAGCAGGATATGGTACAACACGATACAGTATGGTAGCAGGCCATTATAAAAGAAAACACCCCAGATCTCAATGGAGATATAAGAGGGCGGAGGGTTTACACATGGGCCTACGGAGGAGAAAGAAAAAAAACTATCATACCTTGGAATTTCAAATTCACCGTCAACCACTAGCATCACCGACACCATAAAACCCAAATAATCTAATAGTTGTGTTATGACGTTGGCACTGCCTCCTCTAGTTTTTTTTATTTTTTATGGCTCTCAGAGGAGCTGAGAAGCTCTCCTTTCGCGGGGGTCTTCACCCCTTTAACAGAATGAGGCAATTCCGGACTATAAAACACATGGTTCGACTACTAGAGCTTTTACGGTAATAATTTCGTGGATTCAGCTCTCCCCTTCCTCAGCAACTTCCCCCTAGCCACAATTCTCCTCAAACGCCACCAAAACCCCACCTTCAGGTCTTTTGCTTAACCATCCCCCGAGGTTCCCCGCAGGTCGGCGGCCTGAAATCTGCCTGTTGTAAGGAAATTTAATTTATCAGCACTTTCTACGACATGCACTCCAACTACAAAGTCAAACATTACCAAGCATCAAATTTTATGGTTTGGGTACCGCTTTTCCGGTATTGTGCCTTTCAGCTGTAGTTTGAGGTGCAGCGTCTGTCATCTGCAATACGATAACGATACCATACAGCATTACCGGTATTCGAACCTAACTAGGTTAACCGGAGTTTTCGTGAGGCGAAAAACATAAACAAAAACGCCAATATTGATGTCATAGTTCATACAGCGGTCAGAACTCCCCAAAAAAAAAAAAACCGCTTGAACCGGCCAGGCCCTAGATGCGCGACTACCGGTAATCGGTGGGGTGATTCCTCGACTTGAAAAAATCTTAAGGGGGCGTGTTCGGCTCGCCGTGGTTTGTAAGGTAACTCTTACAAACCGCGGTTTATAAGGTTAGTGGTGCTTGGCAATACCTCACAAGCTGCTGTTTGAAAACTTTATTAAAAATCTTTCAAAACACTTATAACTGGTAAATCTCAGGGCTTATTCTCCCATAACATAATGATAATGGTATTATTAGCACAGTTATTTAGGGTCTAAGCCCAAATAGATACAAATGGTTTTCTTACATTACAAAGGTTCCGTCAGGCGTTTGGCAACACATACATTACAAACCACGACGAGCCAAACACTCTTACTAAAGCATGTCTGGTTGGTAAGGCACCCTCTCGCAGGGTTTGAACATATAATCTACCCAAACACTTTCCTCAATCCCTATAATAGGAGAGCTTTCTCAGTCGATGAACGTAGATGGGTCTATGTATGTTTGTGAACGGTTGGTATCGAGAAAAATATCTATCTGATGATACTGGGTGAGAGAGTATGATTTGTAAGCAGGGAAAGACGACAAAATCGAAGGTATGTTGGGTGCCTACGTAAAGTGCTTTTTCACCATTATCATACATGTTTTTTTAGATGCTCAGCACAGGTACTCAAGTACGGTACACATAAATGGGTCCCAAAGTGTCTGCCACCACCAGGGCCGGTACTTCTTGCTCTTCGGGTTAAACAAAGCTAGCAGCCCTTCCCCCCCTGGGCCGGTCCGCTACCCCTGCTCGATGCGAACGTTTCTAGACACCGATATTGATGTACTACGGGTTGTCGCACAGCAAACAGACTCGAAAAAATGGGGGAAAGGTTCGTCGAGTTGTGTGGGAATCTCAGAGCAACCTAAACCCGATCTAGCACGGTGAGGCTCCCCGGCTAACCTAACCAACCTCAGACCTATGGGGGGCGGGGAGTTCTTGACCACGATTAGCCAAACACCGGGTGAAGGACAACCCTGAGTGTTGGTGAGCACTACAATCGGAAACGGATAGGATACGAGTAGAGAACACAAGAGAAGAAACTATGAGCACATACTTGTACAAGTCCTCGTCTCCTGGGAACCGTAATCCTTCACGGGTAGGGGAACATGAACGGGGGAACAGCATAAAAGACCTACTAAAAGCGGGGGTGTTAGAAGCATGATAACCCAACTGTTGCGTGTCGGACCTTCACCCGAATACATGGAAAAGGTGGTTTCACCATGTTAAAAATTGGAGGACTTTTTAACCCAATCACTGTGCCGCAGTATAGCATTGGGTGTTGCGAATGGGGAGGGACATACAGAGAAAGCAGCTTCGCGTCGGGAATAGTGTACTTGTATGTCTCGGAACCCTATCCACCTCAAACACATGCCCATAGTGCATATACTGCGCCTAAAAGTTTAAGAAAGTTTCATGCTTTACACCGTTGTCCACATGTAAGTATAATACGTTGCACACTTTTTTCCGGACCAATTCCAACAGCGATACGCCGTTCTCTAGTCTTTCCGAAGAAAACCGAAAAAAACAAGCTCAATGTTTCCACGTTTTTGCCTGATGTCCCCTCTTTCATGTTCCTCTACTCAGGCTTATGCAGGGCTGGTTCCCGGAACGTGAGTTATATGTCCTTGAGCCCAGATCACTATTAGACTAAGGTTCCCGCAAAAAGTTGCCCCGGTGAGGCCATAAGGTAGGCCATAACTGGATCACTCATTCGCATCACACATGCC